AATATTCTACCTGTTCTACCTCAACTTTCCATCTTGTTTTAGTATTTTTTACTGTTCAATAAATGTTTCTTATTTTAAACTTGAGACCTGTAATATTTGTTATCATTGTGTCATTTTTTTTTATGTAAATTGAGGGAGCAAAAACAGTATCGGCCCCAAATATTGGCTCAAGAAAATTGGCAGTCCATAATCGGTCATCGGCTAAGGGTGATGGAAAAAAATCGGTATCGGCATCGGCCTTAAAAAATCCATATCGGTCTATCCCTAGTAGTGAGATGTCCAGTGTTCACGACTGACTTGTGACAGAGACAGGTGTGTTGTGGGCGTGGCCTTTGAGGACTGATTGTTGACTAACCTTTGAAGAGACATGTTGACGGCTCGGCCTCTCTGTCACATTGGTGTGACGCTGTCGTTAGGAACGGTTTGCTGGACGTTCATTTTAGTCTCAACAGAAACACATGAACATGAGACGCCCAGTAGCTCACCTGACAGAGCAGGCGCCTCATGTACAAAGGATGTGACCTCGCTGTAGCAGCCGTGGGTTTGATTCCAAACCACACCTCCCTGCTGCATTTAACCACATAATCAGACAAACATAGTGCAGTAAAAAGTGCAACATTTACCTCAGAGATGGACAAGCAGGAGAACATGGACGTACTCAAGTAAAGGACAAGTACCTGAGATTTTTACTCAAGGACAGTTCATAGTTTATTTTCCACCACTGGTGAGTGCAGTTTTAGGTTCCTCACCTGTGACCTCTGACCTCTGACCTGCCATCCTCCTGAGCTGCTGCCATCAGCTCACACTGGTTAGAGATCAGTTTCCATCATCCAGCAGAGGAGGGTCCATTTAGTGAGTCCCTGAGGACGTCCTCTGGATGTCTGAGTGCTGTAATGGCTCCTTCAATAGCTCCGGTCAGCTCAGCCAGCAGCCAATGGGAGCTCAGCGTGGCTCCTCTCAGTGCCACATCACACACTTTACACACATCATGACATCACACACAGAAGACACTTGACCAAACGTCCTCTTGAATCCCTTGTATTGTGTTTATAGAGGACTCCGCCCCTCCAGGATGTCGCGGGCTATTTTTTGGATTGTTGCCGTCTGTAACGTCTGATGTCACTACAGCCTTTCAAAAAAAAACAAACAAAAAAAAGAAACGTGATGCGTGTTGTGATGTTTGTAGGTGTTTCTTTTTTTGCAGAGAAATTTGGGGGCAAGTGAAAATTCAAAAGATAGTTGTGATGCTGTTTTGGATTCAAAGTGAATTATTATGAGCATTCAGTGTGTGTGTGTGTGTGTGTGTGTGTGTGTGTGTGTGTGTGTTTCCTCTTGTGTTGGACACAGCTAACGGACCGTCTCAATGAGCTGCTCTCATCCTGCTCTCGTTGCCTAGTTAGCACGAGCTAACACATCACAACATGATCAATCAATCAATCAATCAATCAATTTTACTTATAAAGTCCAATATCACAAATTACAATTTGCCTCACAGGGCTTTACAGCATACGACATCCCTCTGTCCTTATGACCCTCACAGCTGATCAGGAAAAACTCCCCCAAAAAAAAACCCTTTAACAGGGAAAAAAAACGGTAGAAACCTCAGGAAGAGCAATGATGTCATCATTACGCCGCAGCAGCGGTGAACATTGTTAATCTCACACAGACACTGAAATGTCTTGACTCTGTTGTTAAACCTGTAACAAACTGCTGGGTAAGGTTAGCAGTGTGATGCTAACAGTTAGCCCTGTCTCTGTGTGTGACTCAGAGCTCCAGTCCTGCTGCAGCAGTCTGATGATAAATAAACAGTATCGCTACGCTGCACGCAGCTCTACGATGAAATCAGATGTGACGGCTGTAATACGTTGTTGGGATCGTAACATCCTGGGGCAACTGAAGAGCTCTCAGAACTACATTACCCATGAGCCTCAACTGCACTTGATCTGAACTCAAAATGTAATCTGACAGCAAATTTATCCATCAGGTTCTATAAATATGAACCTGTAACAAGCCTGAGGCTGAAACTCTCTTCTGATTGGAGGGTTCTCACAGCAGTGCTCTCTGGGATTTGTAGTTTAGTAAGTAGTTTAGTTGGGGTGGCAGCAGCTCAGTCCACAGGAACTAGGGTTGGGAATTAAAGGGTTACTGGCTTAAGTCCCCGTCCGGGCCAAATATGGAGCGTGGACTGGTAGCTGGAGAAGTGCAGTTATTATTGTTGTTGTTGTTGTTATATGCTACAACCATGGCTGTCAGCATTAACGCCTTAATCCTCCTACAGAGACGGTGAGATCTGATCAGTGTGATCAGTTATGTGTAGCTCCACTGTGTCACATGGATCTAATAACGTTTGATGTGTGCAGACTACGATAACGGCGCCGACTGAGTCACAGGCTACGACGTAAGATGTAACAGCTTTACATACTGAGTGATACTGCAGGGTTATTATTACTGCAACTGCGAAGCACAACATGGAGGCTCACATTAATAACATTACTACAGTTATTATTATCATAATAAAATTAAGAAAATGTCAGAAAATAATGTAAAGTTTAGTGGCACCATGTCCTGCGGTGTGTGACAGCGTGTTCTAGGCTTTAAACAAGACAACATGAAGATCTGAACATAATGTACTATTGTTTTAAACATGTCAATCCCATGCTGCTATTTTGTCCCTTCGTTGCCCCTTACTTGTAGTCCAGCCACCGCAGCAGCTTCCTGCTTCCTGCTGCAGCAGTGATGTCATATAAGACGTCTCCTCAGCTGACAGTCAGCAGTGATCTGAGCTCACAGGAGCAGCTGATCAGACTGATGTCAGCAGGCGCAAAAGCGCTAAAGTTACGTTGTTATGTCGTCACTGTGAGTTCAGTATGATGTCATTATACACACTGTTGATGATTTCCCAGAGTTCTCTCTGTTCATATGTATCAAACACATTGAAGATGTTGACTTCCTGTCTGTGTGGTGTCCCGCAGGGCTAGGCCTGAAGCTGCCGATGTGGACGCGTCCCCGCTGACTTCGAGGTGCGTGTCAGAGGTGAAAGGTCATGATGACGACGGTGGCCGCCGAGTTCGACCACATGGAGCTGCAGCAGCAGTACAGCAGCAGCAATGACACAGTCAACAACCGCTGGGATGACGAGTGGGACAACGAGAACAGCTCAGCCCGCCTCTTCGAACGCTCCCGCATCAAGGCGCTCGCAGGTAAGAGCCCCACCCCTTTAAGTCAAGTCAAGTCAGGATTTATTTCTAGAGCACATTTAAAACAACGGCAGTCAACCAAAGTGCTGCACATAGGTGGGTACAGAGTTAAAACAACATCAATAATAAAAATAGAATAGATGTAGAAAACAATGATAAGCATTTTGATGCATTGTAAAAATCTGAGAAACATAGTTTTTGTAGGACAATCTGAAGATGCTCTGTAGCAAGTTTGGTGACAACTGAGCAAAAATTGAAAAAGTTTTACAGTTTTTGAAAAAAAAAAGAGTGATTAACTTCATGATTTTTAATAGGTTTAAATGTACAAAGGTTTTTTCAGTATTGGGGCTACAGTTTGATGAAAGTTGTGAAGTTGTAGCACGTATGGTTGATTTGTTATGAATTTTCAAAGTTTTGAACTTTAGACGCTTGCTGTAGCGCCACCATCAGGACTATTGGCTTGAGTTTACAGCTGAGGATATCTGGCATGAGACTGGACCTTTGTGCAAAGTTTGGTGAGTTTTCACCCATGGGAAGTATGATTTCCTCAGAAGAAGAAGAAGAAGAAGAAGAAGAAGAACTAGGATTACAATAGTGTCCTGGCAGCTTAGCTGCCCGGACCCTAAAAACAGAGCAAACAGTGCAAACATTAAAATAGCAATTAAAAAACAACAACTTGAGATCATCGTGCTCAGGGTGAATGATACGCCAGGTGGAAGAGAGAGGTTTTTAGGGAGGATTTAAAAGTCTCTAGGGACTGGGAAGATCGAATGTGAAGGGGGAGGCTGTTCCAGAGCCTGGGGGCAGCCACTACGAAGGCTCTGTCACCTCGAGACTTTAGTCTGGTTTTTGGCACCACCAACAGTAGTTGGTCCGAAGACCTAAAGGTTCTGGTTGGGGTATGGCGCAGAAGGAGCTCAGAGAGGTACAGAGGGGCCAGACCATTGAGGGCTTTAAAAACAATTAAAAGAAGTTTAAAATCAAACGAAAACGGACCAGGAGCCAGTGGAGGGAGGCTAAGACTGGCGTGATGTAGTCACGCTTTTTCTTGCCTGTGAGGAGGCGAGCAGCAGCGTTCTGGACGAGCTGTAGACGGTTGAGGGAGGACTGATCCAGGCCAACATAAAGGGAGTTACAATAGTCTAATCTGGTGGTTATGAAGGCATGGATCACCCTTTCAAAGTCTGCAGATGAGAAATAGGGCTTGGTTTTGGCCAAAAGACGTAGCTGGAAAAAGCTAGTTTTGACAACAGCACTGATCTGTTTGTCAAATTTGAATTGGCTATCAAAAACCACCCCGAGATTCTTTACAGAGGAACGAATGTTGGGGGTCCAGGAAATCTGCGGAGCTGCGTGGGGACATGTGGCCTCCAAACAGGATAACCTCTGTCTTGGACTCATTAAGATTTAAGAAATTAGAGCTCAACCAAGATTTGACATCACTCAAACAATCCAGTAGAGGTTGCATTGCGTCCTTGCTTAAAGACCTTAGTGGCAGGTAAATCTGGACGTCGTCAGCAAAACAATGGAATGAAATCTTGTGCTTTCTAAAAACATCACCTAGAGGCAGCATATACAACAAGAAAAGAACAGGGCCCAAGATGGAGCCTTGGGGGACTCCGCGGGTCAGTGGGGCTGCAGCAGAGGAAAAGTGACCTGACTGCACAGAAAAAGTCCGATCCGTCAGATAAGACCTGAACCAGCTAAAGGCGGAGCCTGTAATGCCCACAGACTGCCCGAGGCGGTGTAGCAGGATCGCGTGGTTAACTGTATCGAAGGCGGCTGACAGGTCTGAAAGCATTAGGATGACAGAGTTACCTGAGTCAGCAGCTAAAATCAAATCATTAAAGACTCTCAGCAGGGCAGTTCCGGTGCTATGTCTAGGTTTGAAGCCAGACTGGAACTTTTCATGGATGTTGTGCTGGGCTAAAAAAGACTGCAATTGGTTATATACTGATCTCTCTAGAACCTTGGATAAATAGGGGAGCTGAGATATGGGCCTAAAGTTTGAAAGGATGGAGGGATCCAGATTTTCCCTTTTGATTAAAGGTTTCACCACAGCAGTGAAACAGGAAGTGATGTAACACAGCATCAGTGTCCTCCAGACTGCAGTGACATTGTTAATAAACAATAACAAAAACAACGTGTAGTTCGTCTTCACGACAGATGACAGTGGATCCAAACAGCTGTCAGCTGATACAGATGGTCGTCATGGTGACCAATAACAGTGATTTATGATGTCAGATTATGATGACATCATAACTCTGAAGTTAAGCAAAGCTGAATATGAAACACTGAGTCTGTCACATGAAAATAAAAGCCTCTGGTCTCAGGACAGATTTAAAGTTCATCTGAAGACACTTACAGGTGTTTTATTGTGAAGGGATGTGGTCAGTCTCCCAGCATGCTCGGCGCTCTGCTGACTCACTGATGGTTCATGTGATTTCTCTACGGAATGAACTGACAATGTGTGACATGGACCTGGAGGGGGCGGGGCTTATGACCTCTACTGCAGCGGTCCAGGTGACCCACCTCTTAAAGCTTTGTAGGGACAACAGAATTTGAAGCTGTGATTGGCTGTTAGTGAGATGCATCCTGGGAGTCATAGTCCAACTTTCAGTTCGAATCAGATTCTAAAACTCAGTCTGTGTTTGACACCTCCTGATCAAGGTGGGAAGTTCAAGCCATTATTCCGCCTTGCTGATCCGCCTTAAAGGTACGATCACAGAGCACCCGAGTTTGAGTTTTCGTCTTTTTTCGTCAACTTTTTGTCTTTTTCGTGTGTTTTCTGTCATACACAAGGACCAGTAACTAAGCGGCAATGACTTCGCTTAGTTTTGTAACTTTTCTCTCGGTTCTTCTGTTACTGTTGCCACTCTTTGTAAAGGAGAGCCATGCTGAGAGAGACAAAAGCATTGTTTACATGCGAGAACAGCTGATCGCACTGTGTAAGCCTGTGCTGTTGCCGGGGGCGAGGCCTGAAATCCCAGTGGAGCTATGGAGGAGACCCCGGGGTTGCTGAGGTGGAGCCAAATGGAGGGAGAAAAGGAGGAGATATAGACCTGCCGTCCCAGCGATCATCTTGGGGAACATGAGGTCTTTGGGAAATAAGACGGACAAGCTCGCCGCGCTGATTAAGACCCAGAGGGCACACCACGAGTGCAGCATTTTGTGTTTTATGGAGACATGGCTGCACTCGCATATCCCGGACCATAGCATGGTGGTACCCGGCTTCAGGACTGTACGGGTGGACAGAGATGTTTCACGGAGCGGTAAGAAGAAGGGAGGAGGGATTGCACTGTATGTGAGTGAGAGGTGGTGTAACCCAGGACATGTTCACGTGAAAGAATGGTTCTGTAGCCCCGACATTGAACTGCTAGCTGTGGGAATGCGTCCGTACTATCTGCCGAGGGAGTTCACGTCCGCCATTGTTACCGGTGTTTACATTCCTCCATCAGCTGATGCAGCAGCAGCGAGTGATGTCATTCACTCAACAGTCGCAAGGCTCCAAACTCAGCACTCAAATGCTCTTGCAGTTGTTACTGGGGATTTCTATCATGCCACACTGGACAAAACACTCCCAACATGTCATCAGTATGTTGACTGCCCCAGTAGGGACAGCAGCACACTGGACCTTCTGTATGCAAATGCTAAGGACGCGTACAGTGATCACAACCTGGTCCTGCTGAGACCAAAGTATGTCCCCCTTGTCCAGCGGCAGCCTGCCACCAAAAGGACAGTGAGGAGATGGACTCAGGAGGCCAATGCGACGCTGCAGGACTGCTTTGAGTCCACTGACTGGGACCTGCTCTGTGAGCCACATGTGGAGGACGTCAACAGCATGACTGACTGCATCACAGAGTACATCAAATTCTGTGAAAACACCACCCTGTCAACCAGGACTGTGCGCTGCTTTCCCAACAAGCCGTGGATCACAAGTGACCTGAAAGTACTATGTATTTAACAATAAGAAGAAAGTCTTCAGGTCTTGGGACAGGGAAGAACTGAGGAGGGCACAGTGTGATGTGAGGGGGGGAGCTGAGAGAGAGCAAGGACTCCTAGAGGAGGAAGCTGGAGGCCAAGCTCCAACAGAACAACGTGAGGGATGTGTGGACGGGATGAGATCACTGGGTTCAAGGTGAGAGACAGACAAACAGCAGGCAGCGTTGAGAGGGCCAACAAGCTGAACTGTTCCTTCAACAGGTTTAGTTCACAGCCCTCTGCAGCACCCTTCCCCCTCCCACACAACGGAGGAAACATCATGCACCCTCCCCCACATGACTGTGACTACAGGCGAGGTTACGAGACAGCTGGAGAGACTTCACCAACACAAGGCTGCTTGGCCCACATGAGACCGCAGGTGAAATCGTCGCTGGGCCCTCTGCAGTTCGCCTACCAGCCTCACCTGGGAGTGGACGACACCATCATCTACCTGCTGCAGCGAGCTCACTCGCACCTGGATGGACCCTGCAGCACTGTGAAAATCACTTTCTTTGATTTCTCCATTGCATTCAACACCATCCAACCACTGCTACTGAGGGAGAATCTGCAGGCCATGAGGGTCGACACATCCACAGTTTCCTGGATTACTGACTACCTGACAGACAGACCACAGTTTGTCCGACTGGGCAGAGTCCTGTCTGACATGGTGGTGAGTAGCACAGGAGCTCCACAGGGGACTGTCCTGTCTCCTTTCCTTTTCAACTTGTACACCACAGACTTTCAGAATGACTCTGGGTCATGCCACCTGCAGAGGGTCTCTGACGACCAGGGAGGTGGTGATTGACTTCAGAAGGAAGAGGGCGGCTTCTCAACCCCTGTGCATATGGGGAGAGGACATCACCATGGTTGAGGCACCCAACAGACTGAACTGGAAGGCCAACACTGACGCTGTGTACAAGAAGGGGATGAGACGACTCTATTTCCTGAGGAAGCTGAGATCTTTCACTGTGTGCAGCAAGATGTTGGAGGTCTTCTACCAGAGTGTTACAGCTTCACTGTCA